AGCAATTTTTCTAATTCTATTATATTTTTTCAAATTTCTTTTAACGTTTTACGACATGAGAAGATTTCCTAATAATTTAACCAATTTCAAATAAGATGATAACCAATATGTGCTAATTAGGCAATAATTAACAATGTTTTCATTTACTAAGCATTTGTATTGAAATAACTAAGTGCTTAAAGATATAAAGAAATGTAACAATTTGATTCTTGATTCAAATTTTTGGTGTATATTCAATTTTAAAAGATTAAATAAAATAATATATAATTGATTTTATTATACAATTTTTACTTTATTTCAAACAAAATAGGATTGAAGAACATAAACGCAATACCATCAAATATGCCATTGGCCGAAATGGGTATGGATTCGATGATGGCAGTAGAAATTAAGCAAATGTTGGAAAGAGAGTTTGATATTTCCCTGACAGTGCCAGACATTAGAACTTTAAATTTTGTTAAACTTAGACAAATGACAATTACAGCCGAACAAGGAAAAATACAAGATACAAATGAAATTGATCCAAGTAATTTGGGAGGCTTCGACGTGCTGATTCGAAAAGTGAAGGATTCAGACTTTGTTCCAGATATTCTTGTAGAACTTGTTACCAAGGAGGTTGTTCGAGGCAATATATTTCTCTTACCGGGAATCGAAGGATGTTTAAGTGTATATAAATCTATAGCATCAGGAATTAAATCTTCGGCAACGTGTGTGCAACATGGTGTACTTAATATTCCTGACGATAGTCATTCAGTGATGAAGTCAGCCGCTTATTTGCTGCCTGTAAGAAGATTAAATTTAATTAAAATATTTATGTTGAAAGTAATATTTAACAATTACTAATAGATACAAATCTTTCGTAATATACTACAGCTTACACATACATTCATATTTATATTTTCTTAGCACATATTAAAGAAAATGAAAGATGAAAGGAAATTTCTAATAGTGGGTTATTCATTTGGATCTTTAATTGCCATTGAATTAGCAAGATTATTAGAAGCTAATAATTTCTCAGGACGGTTAATACTAATAGATGGAGCTCCTGATCAAATAAAACTTTGGACTAATCAATATTTAGACTGTACTTCGCCAGAAGAGTTACAAAACACGATATTACTTGGTTTATTGGAAATGTATACTACAATTAACAAGAAAACAGTTAGTAAATTATAAAAAAAACACATTTTTTATTATAAGAACTATTTATGTAATTTTAATCTTATATAAATATAAATAAAATAAGAACACACACATAAAATGACTCATTGTAACATGAATATCTTCAAAGATTTGTATTTGAATCTTCAAATAGTAAAATATATTGTTTTATATATCAATATTTATATCGATAAACCGCAGATGTTATTTTGGTATATTTATTATAATTAATCATACAAAATTTTCTTATTTACAGCTTGCGTTAGAGCTGAATAAATGTAACACATGGGACGAAAAAGTGAAAGTATTTCATGCTTACTTCCCGAAGGATTTAAATGTATTGACCATCGAAAATCAAAAGCTTATATATTTCACAGTTTTCAATCATTTTGTCGCTGTACAGGATTACGATATTTCATCATTACCTCGCCTTAAATCATCTATAACATTGCTAAAACCCACATTTCCGATTGCCCCTTTTACTGAAGAGGATTATGGTTTACATAAGGTAAATAAATATGTAATTTGGATAGATATTTTTGAAATAAAACTATGATTTTAAAAATAACATGAAACTTTATAACAAGAAACTTATTTTTAGGTTACCGAAGGTAAAGTGCAAATTCATTATGTGGAAGGTAATCATATCACAATGATGGACAACGACAAAATCATATCAGCTATTAACGAAGAATGGGTAGAAGATAATATAATACAATATAAGGAGGAGAAGGAGGAAGAGTAATATAATATGTATATTTTATTGGGGCGGGGGGGGGGGGGAACGCGGTAACATTAAAACAAAATATTTCAAAGATATTATATATCTGGAAATAAGATGTCTTTCTGATAATGTTATCCTACAATACGTCTTTACAATTTTAAATAAGCATGTATGAAAATATATGTATGCTTAAATTTGTGTGTTTAACAATATATTTCAAGAAGTGAAGAATCTAATTAATTTCAGACAATTATGCTTCTTTTATGGTCCTGTGAACTTGGCACATCATACCTAAAAATCTAAAAGTTTTTTTAGAGTTCTGACTTTTTTTTGAATAGTTCTAGAGTTCTAGATAAGCATTTTAAATAGTTCCGATGATTAATTACAAAAAAATCAAGTTTGAAAATATGGTGCGCTAAGTTCACGCAGCGCACTAAATCATGAAAATCAATTATTTCTTCGGAGTTCTAGTTTGTTTTACAATAGTTTTACAGTTTTGTATTGGTAACACCTATCTAAGAAAGGTAACAGTTCCGATCGGATCGTATTTTTGCGACTTTTCCACGTAGTTTTGCAAGAAATTTTAATCACTTTCCAGTAATGCAATTATTTTAACAATAAAAACCATATTTAACACATAAGAAGAAATTTTTATTTAAGAAAAATCTTTTTACACGTTCTAGCCGATCTGATAAGAGTTCTGCGTAGCGTTCCCTAAATTCTACAAAAAAGTCAGTTAAGTTTTATAAAAATTCGTCATTTATTGCATATCCCCGCAGGGTTCGCAATCTACTACCAACACTATCCCTCTCCTCTCACTTTAACCCTTTGGACCAACGGCTTAACGTCTCTTTCCGAAAGACGGAGCCCAGTTTTCTCCGCACAAGAGCCTATCTTGCACGGAGGGGCGCAGCTATCGGAAAAACATTCCATGCTTTATAGCTCTAGTGGACTCGAACCTGGTTCCTCAGATTACGAGTCTGGCGCTCTACCACAAGACCACACTGCCGCCCTATATAAGTTTTGTATGTGAAATAATTATTTTTCAAGTTTTCGCTGTTTTTAACATTTAAAAATCAACTTTTCGACGATTTTTGACAGTTCTGTAAGTTCTATTATAATTTTCCTACAGTTCTGAACGTGTTCTAACATTTTCCAAAGAGTTCTAGTGATGAAAATTATGTAATTATTTTTTAAATAATTTTTTCTTTCAAGAAAGCAGCATTTACGGGTTTATAGGTGAGGCGCTGGCCGATTTTAGTTTGGCCCTCTCTAGTTTGTCTTGCCAGCATCACCAGAAATTATTACGCATGTATGCATATCAACGTTTACTTACATTGCATAATTTTAATAATATTGTATGTAGACATTCTAAAAACCTTTTGAGGGACAAAATCACTGAATGTATTGGTATGACTAAAATTGAAACTAGAACGCAAAAAATATCACTTTTTACGTAATCGAAATCTCGGAATTGACTGCACCGATTTTAATCGGACTGGTTAGACAGCTCGCAATCGACATCTTATATTGATATTATGTCAGAAAAATGGCCTTAAATTATCAGAAAGCTTGTTAAGTTTCAAAGGTATTTTACTCTAAAGCTTGACGAAAAGTTCCAGACAAACTTGGTATACATAGCACCTTGACATTTATGCATTGACGTAGTTAGTTGTTCTTCCTGTTTACTAGACATCGCTTGACATTTGACAATTGACAATGATTTTATTATATATGCATCAGATGTCAAAGTTTAGCGAAAATTATTTATATTGTGAATGCGTAAATGCGTGAATACATTATATGCAAAGTAGAGTTAGATAACTTTGGCGTCTGTTTCTGACGATGGTTTTTGGTAATACCTTTAAAACGCTGAACAAAAAATTATATAGGTCTTATAAGGCTAACCGCTCTAGTTTTCGATGAGATATATAGTGTTGAAGTTGGTAAAATTTAATGGTGTGTGTCCACCTGCGAGTAAAACTCTCGAGAATATTTTTCGAGAGTTATTCTGACACTGTCCATTTGAGAGTAATTTTTCTGACATTGTATTCTCGCGAGAATCCGGAGAGTATTTTTTCGGAGAGTTCTTTCAAAACCGTGTCCACTTAACGTATTTTTTTAGTCGATGTCTGAGTGTGGT